ATATGTTCTCTACGGAGTATTGGAGAAACAATTTGCTGATACTCTTAAAATTCGCATTCATAAACTGAGAAATTTGTTTGTGGTCTATGCCTGCAACAGAACCTCTCACTCGAGTTCAAAAGGATCCTGCTTTAGACTCTCAGGATGAGCTCTTACCTGAAGAAATGGTCCCGGTAAGAGTTAAGTGCATCAATTTTGAATTTATGTACCTCTGGGTATAAATTTGTCCTAGCCAGAAACACTATTCTACAAACATAAGCAAGAACCTTCTTAGGTTAACAAATTTATAAGCCGATTTTTCACAGAAGTTCGCTTTCCTTGTACGATACTAAGGTCGTGCTTGTTTATAAAAGGACTAGAAAAAAACTGTTTTTTTTCTTTATGATTTTTTGTGTTAACTAGAGTTGTATTTGAAAAAAGTTAGTATGGTTAGTTGTTAGTGGAATTTTAAGAATGTACTAAAATAATATTTAAAATAAATTATTAAAATTGATTTGATGGAAAAGTAGTAGATAAATGATTGGAAATGATAGGTAGTTAAAATTATGTGAGTGGATGAATAATGAATTGAAGTTGATGTGATGTATAAGAATGATTTAATGATATTATTTAATTGTATTGATAATATTGAAGGCAGTTGAGATAAGTTAAAGTTTGGTTAGATTTTGAATTGAGATAAATTTTTTTCTAATTTTTTTTCTAATTTTATTATAAACAAGCAGAGCCTAAGATAGTCGGCCATTCTCTTTGCATGCCACATGATTGTTATGTACTTAAAGAGTTTAAACACATCATTGAGTCGTAAGTTTCAGTGGTTAAGTGCATCTTGCTTCGGATAAAATTTTTCAACTGTTCGATTTCATTATCCACAGCTGTTCTTTGAACAGGATAGACAAATGCAAGGAAAAGAAGCGACTGAGTCATTAAATTGTGAACCAGTTCAGGATGAAAAATCACTGGAAAAAGATAAAAAGATCTCAAGTCATCAAGCAACTCAGAAGGTCAGTATTGATAGTCGCTACACTATTGACCCATTAAAAAGGCAATTAATTAGTAAGATAAAAGTTAGAACAGAAAATACTCTTGGATACAAATATATCAGCTCAAAATGAGTTTTTTGGTTAAGAATAATTAATTTTAAGAAAAAATTATGTGGTTAGTTGTTAGTGGAATTTTGAGTATATATTGAAATGATATTTAATATAAAATAATTAAAATTGATGTAATATAAAAGTAGGAGATAGATGATGTGAAGTGATAGGATAGTAAATTAATTGATGTGGTGCGCAAGAATGAATGATTAGTATTATTTAATTATATCGATAATATTGAGAATAGTGAGGTTGAATTGAGTTAGATTCTAGTATGAATTCAGTGTGAATTGAGATAATTTATAAACAAACACATCCTAAAAGATACAAATATTTTGTCCTAACTTTTGTACCATAAGCTTCTTTCTCTTCATTATTGTCTCCGCATGTCATTTGATCATTTCTAGCTCGCACATTTTGATCAAACGCTGAACGCCAGAAATCGGTGTTTCATTGTGAAACGCTTCTAAAGATAATCACATTTCCATCTTTAGGAATTTTACGGTACATTAAAAGCTCGAGTGGCTGAGTTGAGAAGAGAAACGAGCATGCTCAATCAACAACTACGGAGGCAAGCTACTATGTGCGAGCAGCTTAGTGAAGACAATAAGCTATTAATGGTTAATCCCCGCAACCCATTTCTTTCTCTAGCTTCCCTTTTTTATGGCTCGTTCGTCAATATTAACTCGCTCTTCCTACGTTTAAGTGTTGTGCGTGGAATTTATAACATCAATTGATCAACATGCCTATTTCTTCAGGATGAGCTAAAGAAGACTTGCGAACCATGGGTCATAGAAATTCTCGAAGCAAACAATCCGGAAACAAATCCTCAAACAGATTGATAACTCAAGTCAGTCGAAATACAGACGAAGAGTAAGTTTTAACTGCCCTTGTAAACGCGCACACAAATCGAAATCGTTCGAGAAAAATGTTTTTTCAACAAAAAAAAGAAAAAAAAACTAGGTTCACATCTAGTTTTGGTTTGGTTGTATAGTGTAAATTATGGACACTCCAGTTTCTATTTATATTTGAAATAGTGAACTATAGTTAAAGGCNAAAGCCTCAATTCTGCATTTCTATGTGAAGCAACATTACAACAACAGATGTGGCGTTTTTGCGCACCTTACTCAGAACCATCGGGAAAAGGATCCAAAGCATCTTTCTTCCCATTCACATAGTAATCGACAACAGCCATCATTCGCGAAAGCTTATCTGGATGGTAATTCAAGTGAACTATCACCGGCTTAAGCTGCTTAAGTTCAAGATCTTTCCTCACTCTCTCGAATAGAACCTTACTATTCATAAACAAATAGTAATCCATCGTCCTTCTCGATGCGTGGAGCCCCTCGTAACCTGGATGAGACGGGTAAAAGAGCTCCTCATTAAAAACCACCTTGTCCGACACGTCCTCCTGTGCTAGTCGGCCCGCCACACAATCCAAAAGCTCTATAGAGGGGATTGTGGGCCTTATGTAGAAAAACCCCGAGTTGAAAGCCCATATCCTCATCGTGTGGGCCCAATGGGCCCACCCCATGGCAGGCTCGTCAAACCCGTAATCATCGCCGTAAGCCGTGTAGTTGTCGTGCCCGTCGGTCATGGACTCGACGTCCGAATCTCTATAGAGATAATCGAACGGGTTTTGTAGGTAGACTATGTCGACGTCCGAGAGGAGCACACCGTAGCCCATCACGAGAAACTCCCTTAGGATGCGGAATTTCAAACCCGAGACGGTCCTAGTAGCAATGGATTTGGAATTCGTGAGAATTTCATCCGCGTCTTTCTTGTAGAAAGGGACGTGTTCCAATTTGCAAAAACTGGCGATGTCTTCGTCCAAGGCATAGACAAGGTAATTAGTGATTCCCACGCGTTTTACGTTCATGAACCAAACTCGCAAAGTTTCCTTGACATTTGAATCCGCGAGCGCAACAATGAGTTCACGGTTTTTGGCGAGCTTTTTGAGTGTTTTGGCGAGTCTAGGGTTGATGGACTCGTCAGGAGTGATTGTGGGGTTGGTTGGGGATGCTTTGACGGTGCCAAATGGCCTGGGTCTTTTGCGCTCGTCCAAAGATAAGACCTCTTTTTGTGCATTGTCTTGCACTTGTTCGACCAGGCGGAGCTTCTCGGTCAACTCCCGAATTTGCCTTTTCAACTTTGTGTGTTTCTTGGAGACGTAATCAAACTCGGACTTTAGCATGTTGACTTGTTTGGACGACTCACATGAGAAGGCAGTAGCCTGCAAATACTATCGATTTTCAACTTTGTGTGTTTCTTGGAGACGTAATCAAACTCGGACTTTAGCATGTTGACTTGTTTGGACGACTCACATGAGAAGGCAGTAGCCTGCAAATACTATCGATCTTTTTATGAATCGTAACAATTTAGTAAAATTCGAGTCATAACATAAGATGAATAAGCATTTCGTATTTACTCAAATAAGCGTTTGGCTAGCTTTTTAAATATGTTCATTGAAATTTTTATTTCAGCTAGCTTATCAATTAATTTTACACTTTTATGATATAGTCTATTTTCACCTATAAGCTCAAAAATCACTTATAAACTATCAGCTAACGTCGGTGTGTGATGGCATAATATACTTTTAACCTAGGTCTCACTTTCTTCATACTTCAGCTAACATCAGTTAAAAAAAAAAAAAGGTTATGTTATCCAAAGTTATGACGCAAAAATTCTAATTCATTTCTTTTTTGTTCTTGTGAACGAAAAGTAAACATAATTTTATGTTATCTACACTCGATCAGACGCCAAATTCATATAAGTTGTGACACATTTTTCTTCCAATTATGCTTTTTCTCAACTTACATAAGAACTAATTTGCAAGCTACTGATGCCATCAAACAGCAGTTTAAAACCTTGATCAGATTTCCAAGTCAATTATGTTTTTTTTTTCGACACAAGTCAAATACCGAGTTCTCATGGTGAGAGTTTTCCTTCTAGTAAGGATTAGTTCCACATAGTTGGATTCTTGCTTTGGATCTTAATTTTTGGGGTGTTCTGTTGTTTGTTTTTTCCCAGATCTAGGATTTCAGTTCTCATTTAGCTTTTCCCTTTATTTTCGTTTTAATTAGGGTCTGTTCTCGTTTCTTCTTGTCGCTTTTTCGGATCTCATTGTCTTCGTTTTTCATCTTGTTCTTCCCTCTTCCTTTTCGGAGTGGTTTCCTCTCTGTCATTATCCTTGGTTGGTTCCTTTCCTGTCCAGTATGGCGGAAGATCTGACTGAAAAACTAAATAAATTTAGGTTATCAGCAAAAGAGGAGGTGGGCTTGGAAATAGTAGTGGATGATTATGCGCTGGGTCTAAAGGAATGCCAGCAAAGTCTGATTGGAAAGATCTACGGGGATAAGAAAGTTAATTTCAGTGGGTTAAAGACAACCCTAACATCGATATGGGTCACTCAGCAACAATTCCATATCCGAAGTCTAGGCCCGAATCTGTTTCAGTTTGTTTTTAACTCAGCTGAGGATAAAGAGAAGATCCTGCAGGGTAAAACATGGTCGTTTGATGGGCAGTATTTACTGCTAAAAGAATGGTGCCCTGAATCTCCCAATTTTTCAGAACAAGATGAGAAGATTAAAATGTGGGTGCAGATACACAATCTTCCTCTTCACTGGCTTACCATGGAAATTGGTCTCAAGATAGGACAAATCATAGGCACGGTGCTTGATGTCCTGGTGCCAGGAACAGGAAATTCCAATGGAATGATTCTCAAAGTTCAAGTAGAACTACAGCTCAGGGAAGCTCTGATGAGAGGAACCACTCTAAAAATGGGACATGAATCTAAATGGGTCGACTTCAGGTATGAAAATCTCCAATCCTTCTGCTTCTACTGTGGTCACATTGGACATATTGATAAAAGTTGCCTTTCAAAAAAGGATGATTTAAAAAGAAATGTGGTTAATGTCGGCCAGTTTGGAGAGTGGCTAAAGGCCAATTCTTCTTTTTCTTTTGAGTCTAGAAATTTCAGAGCCTCTGAGTCTGGTGGCACTAGTGTAGAGAACTCCAAAAAGGATTCTGGCCAAAATGTTGAATTAAATTGTCCTGGAGATGATGATGCCTTCACCTCAGATAGAGGGGGGTCCTCTCCCTTAGGTCAACATAGTGGGGTAGGTGTGTCTGTGACTTCTGGTTCTTCTGCAGGGGGAAAAGAGGCTACATCTAATGTGCCTAATTTACCTAATGATGATCCAACTGTGAAAACTCCCACAGCTAATGATTCTGAGGATCAATTAGTTGAGGTAGTTATCCAACCAACAATAAGTGGGCAACAATCTGTGATTCACAAAAGGAAAACCACTTATAAAAAAAAGGTCCCAAATTGTCCTAGTGTCCCAGAGGACATGGTTGTTGAAGGACCTAGTGATTTGTTGGTTGTTTCAAATAATAAAAATGTGGTTGGGAAAAGAAGTTTCACTGATTGTAGTCCTTCTTTAGTAGAAGTTAAATCCTTAGAGGGGCCTTCTAAAAAACTGAAATCTGATAAAACTTTTGATTCATGTGTGGTGGAGGGGACCAGCCCTAATTGGTCCCAAGTGTCTAAATGAAAGTATGTGTGTGGAATTGTAGAGGTTTGGGAGGACCCTCTACAATTTCCCAATTGCGAGAAGCTATTAGAGCTCACCTCCCTGTTTTAACTTTTCTTTCTGAAGTAAAAAAAAAGAAAAAATTTGTTTCTTCTGTTTGTAAAAAGCTGAAATTAGAGGATAGGTGGATGTATTGTCAGCCTATTGGTACAAGAGGAGGGCTCTTACTCTGTTGGACCAGTAGTTTAACTATTCTGGATTTCTTTTGTTATGATTTCTGCATTGGTATTAAATTTTGTTGTGCTGGGAGTGATCTTGTTCAATGGGGGATCTTTGTCTACTCTAATACTGACTCTGAGGTTAGGAAGATGCAATGGGAATTGTTGACTAACCTAAAAGAGCAGTGGGGGGATCACTGGTTTCTGACTGGTGATTTTAATGACATTCTCTCAATTCAAGATAAATCTGGGGGTAGGACTAGAGAAGAGTCCAGTTTTCAGCAGTTTAGAGATTTTGTGTCAGTCATGAATATGTCTGAGACCAAAACTATTGGTCATCATTTCACTTGGTCTAACTTAAGACAAGGGTCTGAGTTTATTGAAGCTAAATTAGATAGGTTCTTTTTCTCCCATAGCTGGCTGAACCACTTTCCTAATGCTATTGTTAATCACATTTCTTTAATCTCCTCTGACCACAGTATGCTGGTGTTGGAGACTGATCATAGCTGTAAGTTTAAACCTAGAAGGTTTGTGTTTGATGCTAGGTGGATTAAAAGGGAGGGTTTTAGAACTGTGGTTGAGAATGCCTGGAATTTACCTGTGTGTGGGTATCCTCTGTTCAGTATTCAACAGAGAATTAGGAATGTGAGGATGGCCCTTCTTAACTGGAACTCTAGCTTTTGCCTGAATTCTGCCAAGCAAATAGAGGAATGTCAAGTAATTCTGAAAAGCTTAGAAACTCAAGGTGGTGATAGAGACTGGGGTGATTGGAACAAATGGAAAGATAAACTGCACCAGGCTTACTTAGATGAGGAAACCTATTGGCTCCAGAAATCTAGAGTTCTTTGGTTAGAGGGAGGGGATAAGAACACTAAATTTTTCCATGCTTCAGTGAAACAGAGGAGGAAAGAGGGTAGCTTTGATAATCTAGTGAACTCTAATGGGAATAGGTGTTCTAATGACCAGGATATTGCTTGTGAAATTGAAGCTTACTTTCAGAATTTGTTTTGCTCTTCTCAACCTACTCTTGATTCTTGTGATTTGAATGGCATACCTCGGACTATCACTGAGGTTTTGAATGGCAACTTGACCTGTTCTGTGACTGAAGATGAGATTTTTGAGGCTCTGCAGGACATGGAACCTTCTAAAGCACCTGGATTTGATGGAATGACCACTCTCTTTTTCCAATCCTGTTGGCCTACTATCAAGTATCATTTCTGTCAAGCCATTTTGAACTTTTTTGATTCTGGGAAAATGCCAAAAGGCATTAACCACACTGTCATTACTCTCATCCCCAAGAAACCCAATCCCACTTTGGTGTCTGAGTTTAGACCTATAGCCCTCTGTAATGTCATTTACAAAGTCATTTCTAAAGTCATTGCTAATAGGCTTAAACAGGTCCTTAGTCCTTGCATCACTGAATCCCAGGCTGCATTTGTACCTGGAAGACAAATATTAGATAATGCTATCCTAGCCAATGAATGCCTGCATTTCATCAATAGCAAAAGAAAAGGGCACAATTGTCTTATGGCTGTCAAATTAGACATGGCCAAAGCCTATGATAGGATTGAATGGAGTTTCTTGCTCAAAGTGTGTAGACAGATGGGTTTTGCTGATAGATTTATCTCTTGGTTACTTGCCTGCTTAAATACAGTTTCTTATTCTTTCAATGTCAATGGCCAGAATCTTGGATTTGTGAAACCTTCTAGAGGAATCAGGCAAGGAGATCCTATTTCCCCTTATTTGTTCATCATATTATCTGAAGCCTTATCAAATTTGATCAACCAAGCTTGTGCCAGATCTTTGTACTCTGGGATTAAAATTAGTAGATTCTCCCCTCCTATTTCTCATCTCCTCTTTGCTGATGACACTATCTTATTCTGTAAGGCTGATGAATATCATGCTCACATCATTCTGAATATTCTTAACTGTTATGGTGCTGATTCTGGGCAGTGTATTAATTTGCATAAATCCTCTGTGTTGTTTTCTGTGAACACCCCTAATAGTTCCAAAGTGAGAATCTGCAATTTGTTGAATGGTATCCTTTGTGTTAGATCTACCAAATACTTAGGGCTTCCTCTAGGTATTGGTAGGTCTAAGAGAGCCACTTTTAAATTTGTGCTTGAGAGTGTTATTAGTAGATTATCTTGCTGGAAAAACAAACTTCTCAGTGAAGCAGGGAGAGAGGTGCTTATTAAATCTGTTATTGAAGCCCTCCCAACTTATGTGATGTCTTGTTTTCAGCTCCCTATTAGTATTTGCCAAGATATCAGTAGGGCTGTGGCTAAATTTTGGTGGGGTTCTAATGATCAGGGGGGAAACAAAACTCATTGGGTTAACTGGGATTTTCTGTCTAAGCCTAAGGAGTGGGGTGGGTTGGGATTCAGAAATTTGAAGCTTTTTAATGTTGCTCTTCTGGTTAAACAATTGTGGAGAGTCCTGACTCATCCCAATTTATTAATCAGTCGAGTTTTAAGAGGTAAGTATTTTTATAGATCTAGTTTATTTGATGTTAAGCCTAAAAATGGGGATTCTTGGTTATGGAAGAGTTGGGTGGGGGTGTTGAATTATCTGAAAATGGGTACTAGGTTTCAAGTTGGGGATGGTAGTACTGTTTCCATCTGGGATCACCCTTGGCTCCCTAGAGATTTAAACCCTATTCCCAATTGTTCTTTTTCAGATGATAGGCTTCACTTCAGTAAGGTGAGTGATCTTGTGATCCAGGATTCAGGAGGGTGGGATAGAGAGCTGATTAGGCAAATGTTCAGGCCTGATGAAGCTAGTCTGATTCTTAAAATTCCTATTTCCCTTATGGGTAGAAAAGATAAGCTGGTTTGGAGACCGGGTAGATTTGGGATTTTTAGTGTCAGGTCTGCTTATGAAGCCTTTGTGACTAAAATGTGGCAGGATAAAGGAGTTGCTAGTTGTAGCAATGGGTCTAACATTGAAAAACTGGTATGGAAAGTTACTTGGAAACTTCCAATCAAAAATAAAGTTAAGTTTTTTCTCTGGAGATGCTGGTTTAGGTATTTGCATACCAATGACCAACTTTTCAAGAGGAGAATCTTGCAGGATACTACCTGTACTATCTGTGGTGTGGAAGGAGAAAACTTGGATCATATTTTTTTTCACTGTCCAAGAGCAAAACTGGTGTGGCAACTAAGTGGCTTGGACTGGGAGTGCTTCAACATGCCACAGACCCTTTTCACTGACTGGTGGGGAGATATTTGTTCTGCCACACAAAGAAGATGCATCATTGACAGAGCCAGCCTATCTTCTTACATCCTTTGGTGGCTCTGGAAGACAAGAAACGTTTGGATCTTTCAAAACAAGAGAATCACAGAGAGACAGATTGCAGAGGGGGCAAGACAAGAGTGGCTTGAATTTGCAAATAT